CTCAGATAGATACTGTTGGTTGCCTCTGTTTCCTCCTGCTCAGATGCTGAAAACACTTGGATCATGTAACTGTTGGTTATTTGTCTCTAGCTTCCTGTATTTGGGGATTTATGGGGATTCTTTGTGTCTTCAAGTTGTTGTCATTTTAGTATTCTAGTTGTGCTATTTTCATGAGACTACTTAGGGGGATTAAAAAGTCTAAGCTAGAAAACCTAAAAAGACAAATAACAAGCAATGGGATTGAATCAGTAATAAAATGTACTCAATGAAGAAAAGTCCAGGGATGGATGGCTTCATTGCTGAGTTCTACAAAACTTTTAAAGAACTAAAACCAAACTACTCCAATAAATTGAAGGGAAGAGAGTTCTTCCAAACTCATTACAAGGCCAGCAGTACCCTGATACCAGAACTGATGAGGACACAACAAGAACAACAAAAAACCCATGGGCCAACATGCCTGATAAATACAGATGCAAGAAATCTCAACAAAATGCTATCAAACCAAATCCAACAGCACATCAAAAAGATTATATACCATGATTAAAATTGATCAAGTTGGTACCTTGTATCTTTTTATTGTTGAGTTGTATTCCACTGCATGAATATAGTGTAATTTGTTTATCCCTTCCTGTGTTGTAGTTTTTTTTCCAGCTTTTTGGCAATTATGAATAAAGCTGCTATAAACATTAAAAAAAATCTAAGCTGTCCCCCAAGGTCTAACAATAGTATAATTAGAGCCTCTGAAAGAGAGGAGAGAGTTTGGGGCAAAATGGTATTTGAATGAACATTGGACTAAATTTTTCCAAATGCAAAGAAAAATATCTTTCCAAGATCTAGGAAGCTCAATAAACCCCAAGCCAGATAAACATAAAGATTTTTGTATATAGCTGAACTATAGTCAAATTATTAAAAAGCAAAAATAAATTTATACAGAACAAAAAATAAATTTACCTATGGGAGAAACAAAGATAGGAATGATAGCTGATTTCTCTTTAGAAGCAATGTAAGCCATAAAACAATAGAACAAAATTGACACAAATTATAATTCTCACCTCCATTTATTCCTTAACATGTTCCAATCTGGCTCTTTTTCCTTTTCTGTATTGCAAATTCACCAAGGGCATCAATGGCCACCAATATAATTAAAGCCAATGGACAATCTTCAGGCTTACTTTGCTTATCAAACTCTCATCATATTTTGTTACTTATTAATAGCCCCTGCCTCTTGAAATTTCCTCTTTTCTTGGATTCTATGACTACTCCTATTAAGTCCCCCTTGATAATATATTCTCTATCAGAGTTTTCAATGCCAGAAATACTTTGTATGTCCCATTCTCCTCAGATCTCTTGCTACACAGTGTTCCTAGTTGATATCACTTGCTCTAATAGGCAACATGTGTTCAATGAGCTGGATATTTTTTAGTTCAGTATTAAGCAAAATCTATTATTTATGTTTTTAAAATGAGTTTGCACTAAAAGGACTTGATACATTTACCTTTATGATTCTTTTAACAAATGACAGGCTTATAGTATTATTATTGTATTGTATTCAAGCAGCCTCCAAGGTACTTATATGATGGAAGATGGAACAAGACTTCTGGTCTACTCTCAAGGGCTATGCAGGAGCATTCCACCTGATGTGGCAAGATCCTCAGAGGTCTACTTCTAAGACCCTTATTCTGATTATATATACCTTCAAAAATTTTTTTCCTCTTACTGATGCTTATTAGTACATTTCTGGGTTAACATCTGGGCTCTCTTGTTTGAAAAGAAAAAATCTTATTAAAGTCTTCAGATACTTCTTACCCACTGACAGTACCTTATTGTGAAAGGTAACAGGATGTCTTGGGGAAACTGGCATCATATCCTGGCAGAGACAACACTCCAGTTCCAACCGAGAAGTTTAGGATTTACCAAGGGAATAGACTGGAAACTTTTTTTACCTCAAAGTGCTATCTCATGGTCACTTGTTATTTAAAATTTCCTTTAATTTGAACTTCTGGGAATATCTTAAAGTTTTTCATTAAAAAATAATGATTTCTTAGTGGCCATGCATTTATTAAGAAAAATAACTCAGGCTGATCTCAGAACTAAAAAATATAAGTTATGATTCTTGGGGTCAAAGAACTTAATTAGCTTTAAAAGTTACTGTAGACTGTAATTAATGAATTTATGTATTACTATATGCCAGGAAGGAATTCTCACATTCTAAAGTAGCTATGGCACTAAGATGAGTATGACAAAACTATGGCTTATAAATAAAGGAAATAGAAAGTAAATATATCTTCTAGGCCAGCATCTCAAAACCAAGTGATTGGTAGGAGATAGTGGTGAAACTCAGGTGTGCTTAAACAAATACAGAGGCTACTGCAAATTAGATTTCTTTCTGGCTTGCTGGTTACTTCCTTATAATTAGGAGGATTTAGTGAAAACAAGGACAGAAACCCTGATGTTGGAGTGTAGGTGTCCCTGTGTTCCATTAGACCATTACACACCTCTTGTTATATCTTTAAGGCCAAAGGACTTGTGTTCAACTTCCAGTCCTGCCACTAACAAGCTTGTGACCAAGAAAAGCTTGTGGTTGTGAAAACTTGCTGAAATAATTGAGGCAGAAATTTTCCAGAGAATGTGTAAGTCCTACATTACTATTGTTATTGACAATAACATCATTAGAGAGGATTAATAAAGCACCTGATTTACACTGCTGTGTTTGTGTGTTAATATAGCTGTTATAAATGCTATTCATCTAATATTTCTGACTTTCCTTCTAGAGGCACCTGGTACGATTGTGCCTCCTGGCTCCCCTGTGTTCGGGTGGGGTCATGGGATGTGTTTTGGACAATAAATTATGGTCAGAAGTGGCATGGGTCACTTCTGGACTGGAATATTTAGTTGGCAATGTAAAATCTTCCAGTGTCTTTCTCAGCTTCTGACAGAATGATGATCAGTGTTCACAGTGGTGCATGATCAATCACTGATTGGTTAAAATGAGCAGCATCCTTATACTTTTTATGGTGGACATTTAGGGCAAATGAGAAATAAATCTTTAGTTTTAAGATCCAACTTGAGATTGTTTATTTCCATAGTATATCCTAGCTTATCTTGACTGAAAAACATGGCTGTTCCCAAGATATAAAGGGTACGTTAGTGAGGATGCTGAACATGAGGAGAACAGAAGAATTAAAAAGAAAGGGAATCACTAAAGCCCAGGAGTTCAAGTCTACAGTGAGCTATGATTGTGTCACTGCACTCCAGCTTGGGTGACAGAGTGAGACCCCGTCTCTCTCTCTTTTTTTAAAAATTTATTTTACTTTAGGTTCTAGGGTACATGTGCAGGTTATGCAGGGTTGTTGCATAGGTGCATACTATATTTGGCATTTCTCCCCATGTTAACCTTTCCTATCCTCCCCACCCCCTGCTGTCCATCCCCTAGCCCCCCACAACTGCCCCCAGTGTGTGATGCTCCCCTCCCTGTGTCCATGTGTTCTCATTGTTCAACACCTGCCTATGAGTGAGAACATGCGGTGTTTGGTTTTCTGTTCTTGTGTCAGTTTGCTGAGAATGATGGTTTCCAGGTTCATCTGTGTCCCTACAAAGGACACAGACTCAACCTTTTTAATGGCTGCCTAGTATTCCATGGTGTATATGTGCCACATTTTCTTTGTCCAGTCTATCATTGATGGGCATTTTGGTTGGTTCCAGATCCTGTCTCTTAAAACACAGAAGAAAACCAGCCTGGCCAACATGGAGAAACCCCTTCTCTACTAAAAGTACAAAAATTAGCTGGGTATAATAGCGCACACCTGTAATTCTAGCTACTCGGGAGGCTGAGGCAGGAGAATTGTTTGAACCCAGGGGGCGGAGGTTGCAGTGAGCCAAGATCATTCCACTGCACTCCAGCCTGGGTGACAGAGCAAGACTCCATCTCAAAAAAGAGAGAGAGAGAGAGAGAGAGAGAGAGAGAGAGAGAAAAGGGCAGGGTGCTGAGAATTCATATTGTCATGATACTTTGGTGTTGGGGGTGGAGTAAATATTCTTTTTGGATCATTCTGTCTTTTCAGTTGGATTGTCTTTACTCTCAAACTGAATAAGTTTCACAGGGTTTTTCACTGTTTCTCAAAAACATTCCAAAGTGTATTGCCTCTGCGCACTTGTCTGATTTTTACTATGTGAAATGCTTTGCCCATTTCCTCATCCTTTGGAACTTTCTTTGTCAAAATTCAGTCTGTTTTTAAGGATAAACTTATGACACTTTTCCCAAAAGTTCTTTCCAATTTTCTACCAAATCCATGTGGTTTCCACTTCTGAAGACTAACAGGTTTTATAACTCCTTGACTGGTACCCATTGCCAGGCATATAGAAGATTTATTTGTAGGCATATTCAAGCTTTATTTTATCATATGGGTGCCAGTCTATTGAGGATGGTTGAAGTGTTTTTCCTAAAATATGGATTTCTATCAGTATCTGACCTGAGATTATATATATTTGGTCAAAGTCATTGATAGAAACTGTGTTTTTCAAAAGCAATGACAACAAAAGCCAAATTTGACACATGGGAGGTAATCAAACTAAAAAGCTTCGACACAGCAACAGAAACTACCATCAGAGTGAATGGGAAACCTACAGAAAGGGAGAACATGTTTGCAATCTATCCATCTGACAAGGCTAATAACCAGAGTTTACAAGGAACAAACAAATTTACAAAAACAAAAAACAAAAAAACAACCTCATCAAAAAGTGGGGGAAGGATATGTACAGTCACTTCTCAAAAGAAGACATTTATGTGGCCGACAAACATATTTTAAAAAGCTCATCATCACTGGTCATTAGAGAAATGCAAACCAAAACCACGTTGAGATACCATCTCATGCCGGTAGAATGGTGATTACTAAAAAGTCAAGAAAGAACAGATGCTGGAGAAGATGGGGAGAAATAGGAAAGCATTTACACTGTTGGTGGAGTATAAATTAGTTCAACCACTGTGGAAGACAGTGTGGCAATTCCTCAAGGATCTAGAACCAGAAATACAATTTGACTCAGTAATCCCATTACTGGGTGTATATCCAAAGGATTATACATCATTTTACTGTAAAGACACATGCACACGTATGTTTATTGCAGCACTATTAACAATAGCAAAGACTTGGAACCCACCCAAATGCCCATCAATGATAGACTGGATAAAGAAAATGTGGCTCATATATATACCATGGAATACTATACTGCCATGAAAAAGGATGCATTCATGTTCTTTGCAGGGACATGAATGAAGCTGGAAACCATCATTCTCAGCAAAATAACACAGGAACAGAAAACTAAACACTGCATGTTCTCACACATAAGTGGGAGTTGAACAATGAGAACACATGGACACAGGGAGGGGAACATCACACACTGGGGCCTGTCAGAAGATCGGAGGCTAGGGGAGGGATAACATTAGGAGAAATACCTAATGTAGATAATGGGTTGATGGGAGCAGCAAACCACCATGGCCTGTGTATACCTACGTAACAAACCTGCATGTTCTGCACATGTATCCCAGAACTTAAAGTATTAAAAAAAAAAAGACAACTGAGTGCTTTGCTCCCAGGTCAATTCTCTTACTGGTATCCAACGCCACTTTTCATGACCTCTTTGAGTGCTATGTAGAAAATGATTGGGAAGGAAGGATAAGCTGATAACCTTTTAGGTCATCTCTTGATTTTGACATGCCAACATTTTGTTCTTTCTATGAGTAAATTTTGTCTTGTAATTTCTTCAAACCCCTTTTCATATCTTTGTTCCTTAGGCTGTAGATGAAAGGGTTCAGCATGGGTGTCACTACTGTGTACATAACTGTGGCCACCCGGTCCTTCACCACTAAGTACTTGGACAGGGGCCTAAAATAGACATAGATGACACTCCCATAGAATAGGACCACTACATTGAGGTGGGAGCCACAGGTAGAGAAGGCCCTCCACTTCCCGGCTGCAGAGGGGATTCTGAGCACAGTGATGATGATTCGCAGGTAGGAGAAGATGATACACAGGAAGGGGGTCACAATGACAGCTAAGGTCTCAGTCATGACCACCATCTGGCTGGAGGACGTGTCAGAGCAGGACAGCTTTAGCACAGGCTGGGTGTCACAGAAAAAGTGCTTAATGACGTGGGAGGCACAGAAAGACAGGCGAGACATAAGTAGCACCCGGAACAGGGAATGTAGGTGGGAGATGCTGCAAGAACCCAATAGCATGAGTAGGCAACGCCGGGAGTTCATAGCCACATCATAGTGTAAGGGGTTGCAGATGGCCACCAGCCGGTCGATGGCCATAGAGGCCAGCAGGTAGCTGTCAGTGTTCCCAAAGGCCATGAAGAAGTACATTGGGACCAGGCAGCCCATGTAGGAGATAACCTTTGTCTCTGATAGAAAATTCACCAGCATCCTGGGCACTATGACTGTTGTGAAGCAGATATCCGTGAAAGACAAGTTGCTGAGAAAAAAGTACATGGGGTTGTGGAGCCTGGGGTCAGAGTGGATGGCCAGGATGATGAGCACATTCCCCACCACAGTGACCAGGTACATGATGAGGAAGATGACAAAGAGTGGTTTCTGCAGCTGAGGGTTGGAAGAGAGTCCCAGGAGGATGAAGCCTGTGGAGCTGCTGCTGTAGTTCTTTATCTCCATGTCTCTGGGCTACCTGGATAGGGTTTGGAGAAGCATTGGGAGAGGTGTAAAGGGCAGTTTGACCAAGACAACTTCTTCCTCAGTCTCAAATCTATTTTTAAAATCTCACTGCTAGTATACTTCTAAAGAATGTTTAATTCTGAAACTACCTAGGAACAGATAGTAAAATTCAATAAGGGAAAAGTTAAAGGATGCCAAACTGTCTTCCAAATTGGAAACTAAAGTTTTTCCATGTGCTCATAGGAACTTCTATGTGTCCGAATTTTTTTGAGTTCTTCTCATTTCCTTTTGTAAAGATTCTTGTGAGGTTGTTTCTTAAACATCTCCTTAGCCTTATTATTATTTTTTGCCCCAGAGGAAGAGGTTGCTGGGTTCTACTTAGAATGCTGTCATACAAGGAATCCCTATGAATGAAGTTATCTCTCAGTGTTTTTTCTTGCTCGTAGGTCCATAGATGGTAGTAGTAGTTGGGATAGAACAAAACTAAGCAGCAGAATTATCAAGGCTCCTTGGTACTTGCAGAATTCAGATAAGACTTCCTTACATCCTCAGAGGAAAACCTTTCCAGTGTTTATTTAAGCATTTCTCTTTGGCTAATATGATCTGATACTTTAATTATCATCTTTTGGTCCAAGGATACCAGTTAAAATTAGAGTATTCCCAGAAATAGGCTATGTAACCAAGATTAGTTCTTTAAATATATTAGTTTTTCTGGTTAAAAAACTATGAAGTCCTCATTCTCAACATCCAAATACTGCAGGACTGTAAAACATAGATTGTGTAAGGGTCCTGTTTCCATCAATATCATGGAAAGAGAAGGCAAAGATAGCCCTATGACCACTATTAAGCTACATTGCTGAGATTGTTGACTCAATCTCAGTGCGTAACAAAGCAAAACTAAAGAATCAGGAGGCATAGACATTAAAAAAGAAGAAAATGTCATTTTTTTTTTGTGGCATGATTGTGTACCAAAAAATTCAAGATCAGTATTTGAAAATCTTTTAAAACCTATGGCAATTCCACCAGTGGCCAGATGTATTGTAAAACTAAAACTATTAATTCTCTTTCTGTATTAGACAAATGTAATGAAGAAAAGGTTTCAACTGATAACGGCAAGAAAGTCTAAGTGATACTTAGAAATTAAACTGAGGGACAAAATAAATACAAAAGAATGAGTAAGACCTATCAGAAGAAACTATAATAGAACACAAAATGAGTATCTGAATATGTGGAGAATGATATTCCTTAAAAGGAAGACTATATTTTAAAATATGCCAAATGTGGGTGAAGGGGAGAAAGGAAGCAAAACACACTGCCATGTGTGTACCTATGCAACTGTCTTGCATGTTCTGCACATGTACCCCCAAACCTAAAATGCAATAAAAAATTAAAAATAAAGAAAATATGAATTCTTATTAATCAAATTTAATGCACTTCTAATAAGACCTGAAGGGAATTTTTAATGGAACTTGAGAAGATTGTCTAAAATTCGTCTGGAATATTACATGGTTAAAGACAGACAACATTTTATTGGAAACGTTAGAATAATGATGGGAAACTTCTTTAACCCCAGATAAAGGCACAGTGTATTGAAAAGCAATAAGATAATGAAGAACATGGGGGAAAATGAAAGATTGACCAGTATAAAGCACTTTGTACATCTATGTACCTATATTTAGATCACAGTCTATATTAAACTTAACATATAATAAAGATTTATTTCATGGCAATGGAAAAATAATGAACCATAAAATAAATGCTATTGATGGCAATTGGAACATTTGGAAAAAAATAAGCCTAAACTTCTTTGTAACCCACAAATAAAAATAAGTTATCAGATTGGCACTAGTTTTTGAGATCATATCCAAAGGAAAATAGACCTTCATATATACTGAAAGTGTAAATCAGTGTGGACTTTTGGTAGTCTCTATCAGAGCTGAAACTCTGCATCTCTTTATCCAATGGTTCTACTTACAGCACTCTATCCTTTAGAAATAGTCATATTTGTTTAGTGTACAATACGTGTTGCTTGTCATATCAAGCTCACCAACCTACCAAACAAAGCAACCCATAGAGGAAACAATCTCAAAATGCACATGTCGGTGAATTACTAAACAATTTCTGATGCATTACTCAGTAGCATGCGCTCTCTAAAGAAATAAGATGGCTAATGTTAGCCAACGTTTATTAGCACTCAGTACATGCCATATACTGGTTTGGTGCTTTGCATGTTTTAAAAAATCATTGTATTCTCCCCAAATCCTAAGCGATAGGCACTATAACTATTCAAATTTTATAGACAAAAATTAGAGTTTAGCCAAGTTAAGTAACTTACCAGATCCTGCCATGAGTAAGTGGTAGAGCTGGAATTTGAATTCAGGCAGTCTGATGGCAGAGCTGAAGCCATTTATTGCCTAGTAATGCCATCACGATTATACCACTGTTTATGATGTTTTACTAAGTGACAAAAATAAGCTGCAGAACAATGCATATAGAATAATCCTATTTTTGTAAAGTATTTCTTATATGTTGTGTATATTTTGGCATGTGTGTTTATGTGTATGTGGTGGCCTCTTGAAGTGGGTTGGAGTGAGAAGTAATTTGCACATTTAACTTTATGTCACATATATTTATTTATTTAATCGACAAAAATTGTATCTTTCTATAGTGTACAACATGATGTTTTGAAATATGTATACCTTGTGGAATGGCTAAATTAGCAAGTTAGCATATGTGTTCTTGCACATATTTATCATTTTTTTGTGTATGGTGAAATTATATTGCTTGTATTTAAATATAATAAACACATGATTTTTTTTCTTTTTTTAAAATTATACTTTAAGTTCTGGGGTATATGTGCAGATAGTGCAGATTTGTTACATAGGTATACACCTACCATGGTGACTTGCTGCATCCATCCCCATCATATACATTAGGTATTTCTCCTAATGTTATCCCTCCCCAATTCCCCCACCCCCTGCTATCCCTCCCCTAGCTCTCCCACCCCACAACAGGCCCTGGTGTGTGACATTCCCCTCCCTGTGTCTATGTGTTCTCATTGTTCAATACCCACTTATGAGTGAGAACATGCAGGAACACATGATTTTTTACATAAATTTTATTATTAAAAGGGTGAAAGTTCAGTACAATTTCATTTTCCAGACAACTTTTTCTCTCCAAAGATGTATATGATCATTATATATTGAATTGGAGTCATACTATCCATATTGGCTCCCCACCCACAGACTGTTACGATGGAGTTTTTGTGTGTATTGCACTCATGAGAGAATTTCTATAGCGTGGAATAATTCTGAGATACGAAATGCACAGGTGGAATTTATGAACATTGAACATCTTAGTAGATACTTACAACCTGAGACAACTACCTTTCATCCTACTCCTGGGAAATGTTTCTATTTGACTCTTTGGACCCCATTTTCTTCTCTGTGTCTCTCAGTCTCACTCCTGGGACATTGTATTTGCTGGGGGTGAAGGGCTATTTGATTGCTTTTGGGCTTAAACTTGGAGTTTCTAAGATCAGTGCAATGTTTCTCAGAGGTAGTAACTTAGCCCCTTCCCGTTTAACTGGATCTGACAACACTGTACACTTCCTCATGCCTTGGACAAGTCATTACGGTTCTGTATATATATTAGGAAGATGGGGTGTATGTGGGGTGGGGGCTGGTTTTTGTGTGTGTGCTATTCTTCCCCGCCTGCCACTGTCATTTGGAGACTCAAATAACAGTTGAGTGAGAGTTTGTCGAACCCTAATACAAGTGGTTAGTATTTTGCTCACACAATAAGCTAAAATGTCATCAATAAAATGACATTTTAATGATGGGTCTTGTTAGTGGTGGGAAGAACCAAAAGGGACTGGGAGTTTTTCTAAGCCTTTTAAATCACACCATCTCACCTGAAAAGTTATTTACTCTCCTCCTTGATAGATGAGAAATGTGGATTATTTCTACACTTCTCATCTTTCTCTATGGGAATTTTCACATTGTGGACATTTGTCATCTCAGATTGTTTCTCCTTTGCTTGTGTACTCATCATTTATGCAGTGTCCTTCTCTTAGCAACTGGCCAACATGAAACCAGGGAGAGCACACTGGCAGCAGGAATGCACTTCCCAAATTGGATAAAAGCGCTGGTGGAAAGCTACACACTATCCACGCTTCCGCTGCCCCGAATGAGCAAAGGGTTGGAAAGTGACTAAACTGGAAAAATGCAGCTGGCACTTATTAGACAGAGTCTGCCCTTATCCCTTGTCTCATTGAATTCTCACAATAACGCTATGTTTTAAGTACCATTATTTCACCCCTTTGCAATGAAGGAGACTGAAATTCAGAAAGTCACAGAGCTGGTGACCAGTGTATCTAGGATTCAAACCTGGGCACACTGACTGAAGATTATGTTTTAAACTGCTCCATCACACCTCTTCCCCAATCTGTGCATGTGCAGTCGAGAACTAAGCCCACGGTGTGTCCTTAGCTGACAAGAGGTCATCTTACCACCAAGTGACTTCAGCCTCCTTGCTGACCCACTCTTTCCACTGTATCCTTTCCTCCTACATATTGGAATCCTTTCTATTTCCTTCCTTTCTACTCCCACTCTGCCTCCCATTTCACAAAACCATATCCTCTCCTCTCCTCCTTGCCTTCAGAGAGGACAGGCTGTAAGGGACTTTGGACCTCAGCTCTGTCAGATCGTGAATCAACAACAGCTTTCTGATTTTACAGCACCAGGACCTGACCTTAGGATCTCTCCTGTGCCTGTGTTTCTGAAAACCCAGTTTCTCCCTTTCTACTCTCTCCTCCCTGCCAGCTGTAAGACACCCAGATCGGCAGTGTTGAGTGCATAAGTGCCTTTCAGTGGTATGTCCCATTTAGGGATTCTGCAGGTTCTTCTTAGGTTGGGTTTTTCTCTTTTCAGTTCTCTGAAATCTTTTCTGCCTAGTTTTCACTCCTCTATTAGATTGGAGCTTTATCTCCTATCTCTTGGCTCCAGAGAAAGTCG